ACCACACAAACACACACACATAGTCAGTACCTCAGTGATGCAGTCCTCGTGCGTCACCACTCTGACCACGTCCTCCAGCGGCAGCAGCGACGTACATTTGATCTCAGTGTAAACGTTTTTCCCTTCTGCACAGGCGGCTAACAGCTCCACCAGTGAGATGTGATACCTGCACAGAGCAACAACACAGGCAACTTTGTCACTCTTTGGTCGTTGATATTCTGCAGGGCAGCCTAAGCTCAGCTTAAGCTCAAGCAGGAAGACTTTTTTTATTCTCTCACATATTAATTATTTTTCCTTCATTCCACTTAGCCCCTCCCTCTCTTCCACACCCTCTGTCTCCCTGCTCTGGTGATCAGCTGATTATCCTAAAAGCAGAAGTTGTCTCATTAATAAATGGTCAACTTGATCCACTTCAGTTTGCTTATCAAGCTGGCAAAAGTGTGGACGACTCCAAGGTTTTCATTTTAGACACTGTGTACAAACACCTGGAAAAACCTAAATCCCATGCCAGACTTTTATTCGCAGACTTTTCCTCAGCTTTTAATAAAATGTAGCCTCATATTTTAATTGAGAGACTATCCTCTCACTTTAAACTTCCTGGTCAGATTTTAATGTTGCTCTTAAACTTTTTAACAGACAGAGTTCAGCAGGTTTTCGTGAATGGTCAAATGTCGAAAATAATTGTGTCAAACACTGGTTCCCCTCAGGGCTGTGTCCTTTCCCCCCTGCTTTTTATCATGTACACAGATAGCTGCAAAACATCACAAGAGAGCAGTTATCTGGTAAAGTTCTCAGATGACACTGTTCTGCTGTCCCTCCTTCAGGGCTCAGAATCAGGCCATGGCGGTGCTCTACCAACTTTTGTTAAGTGGTGCAATGACAACTTCCTGGAGCTTAATGTCCTGAAAACCAAGAAATTGGTCATAGATTTTAGGAAGAACTGTTGTCACCCTGAATCTAGCATTATCCATGGTGGAGAGGTTGAAATAGTGGACTCATATAAATACCTTGGGACAGTGTTCGACTCTGAATTTAAGTTCTCTGAAAACACAGAGTCAATCGTGAAAAGAGGCCAACAGAGAATTCATTTGATGCAGAGGCTGAACTCTTTTAGTGTTTCACAAAGCATTTTATGTAGCTTTTATCATTATTTTATCGAAAGTCTTTTAACATTTTGTTTTATCTGTTGGTTCAATGGGTTGTCTGTGAAGGACAACAACAGTTTGAACCACATCGTAAAAGTCTGCTCTAAGATTATTGGAGTCCAGCTGAAAGACTTGAGCTCCCTGTGGAAGGAGCGTGTGGTCCAGAGAGCCAAAGGGATCATAAACCAACCTGAACATGTTGTCTCATCTGAGTTTTCTTTAATGCCCTCTGGACGGCGCTATCTTGCCCCTCCAAGGAGGACAAATAGATACTCCAACTCTTTTATCCCTTCAGCTATCAGTCTGTTGAATGCTGAACAAGTCTGTCATCGTATTAGGAAATTGTAGATTGATAGCGCTGGCTTTCCCACTTGACGACCTATTCGTCTGTTGAACTGTTGTTACTGACGTGAATGTAACTGTTTGAATGCTGTGGTGATGTGTTTGTTTCCTTTTATGTTGTCTTTGCGTTTTTCAATGGCTCGGTAGGTTGTGAAACTGAATTGCCCTTCTGTGATAAATAAAGTTTTCTGAATCTGAATTAGTCTTTAAGTAATTATCCAACCAGACTTTACAACCTCTCTCAACCAATCATCCTGCAGCTGTCAAACTTTGCAATCTGTTCTCTCTGTCAGTTTGACTTTTCAGGGCAATCGCTGCGACCCTCCTCCGCCCCGGTCACCTCCAGTCCAGCTCAGCAGAGTTTAGATACAGCCTCAGAAACCCACTCCTCATCACATCCCTCTGTCTTCTGTCACCACTACCACCAGGGTCTAGACTCCATCAGGGGGCTATCACCACCACCACCAGGGTCTAGACTCCATCAGGGGGGTATCGCCACCACCACCAGGGTCTAGACTCCATCAGGGGGGTATCGCCACCACCACCAGGGTCTAGACTCCATCAGGGGGGTATCGCCACCACCACCAGGGTCTAGACTCCATCAGGGGGTATCGCCACCACCACCAGGGTCTAGACTCCATCAGGGGAGCTATCACCACCACCACCAGGGTCTAGACTCCATCAGGGGGGTATCGCCACCACCACCAGGGTCTAGACTCCATCAGGGGGGTATCGCCACCACCACCAGGGTCTAGACTCCATCAGGGGGGTATCGCCACCACCACCAGGGTCTAGACTCCATCAGGGGAGCTATCACCACCACCACCACCACCAGGGTCTAGACTCCATCAGGGGAGGTATCACCACCACCACCAGGGTCTAGACTCCATCAGGGGGGTATCGCCACCACCACCAGGGTCTAGACTCCATCAGGGGGGTATCGCCACCACCACCACCACCAGGGTCTAGACTCCATCAGGGGAGGTATCGCCACCACCACCAGGGTCTAGACTCCATCAGGGGGGTATCGCCACCACCACCACCACCAGGGTCTAGACACCATCAGGGGAGCTATCACCACCACCACCACCACCACCACCAGGGTCTAGACTCCATCAGGGGAGGTATCACCACCACTACCACCAGGGTCTAGACTCCATCAGGGGAGGTATCACCACCACTACCACCAGGGTCTAGACTCCATTAGGGGAGGTATCACCACCACTACCACCAGGGTCTAGACTCCATCAGGGGAGGTATCACCACCACCACCACCAGGGTCTAGACTCCATCAGGGGAGGTATCACCACCACTACCACCAGGGTCTAGACTCCATCAGGGGAGGTATCACCACCACTACCACCAGGGTCTAGACTCCATTAGGGGAGGTATCACCACCACCACCAGGGTCTAGACTCCATCAGGGGGGTATCCTATCCTGCTGTGGACCTCATTACCCCTCCAAGTTCAGGAGGTCATCATGACGGAGTCTAATCGCCTGTTGGATAATTTCTCGTCTAAAAATGCTCAAACACTCTTTTCTTCCTGTTACTGATGGTGTCTTTGTAGGTTTTCTTTTCGCTTGACTACAAGTTATTAAGATTTAAGACTACAATTTCTATTTCTATTTCTTTTAACCACAATTTCCCAGTTTGGGATCAATAAAGTAATTCTATTCTATTCTATTCTTTGTTTTCGTCAACATCTTAATACTTCTTACAAAAGTGTTTACCTGAGTGGGCTAGTCTCCCCGACCCCCTCCCTGCTCTCTGCCATCAGCTCCAGCATGACGTTGAAGGAAGTTTTGTCGTTGTAAAAGACGACAACATCCTCGCCCGAGTTCGTTAACTGCAGGGAGGGAAAAACAGCTTTACATAGTTACAAACTCACAGAGACAGTCCAACACATAACAACTCTTCTTGCTCCTCGTCCTCACCTCGGTCATGATCATGTCCTGGCACTTCTTCACGTACTTGCCCTCGGCCTTGATGATGGTGTGGAGGAAGTTGAGGTACTGAACGTGTCGGCCGTGCGTGGCCAGACAGTGGATGAAGTGCTGCAGGACGCTCTCAGAGATCTCGGTGCAGAGCTGGTAGTTGTTACTGAAGATGTGCTGCACAGTCTCTGCCTCCAGCAGCTGCAGACACGGAAGGAAAGGTCATAATGCAACAACTACTTCAGTTTGCTTGATAATGTGCATAATTACCCACTGCGGCAGACAACAAACAGACCCTTTGACAGACTGATACCTCTTCTGTTTGACTTTTAACTGACTAAATCTCTTGAATTACTACTTATAACGTATTGATCACTTGTGTAATTGTGTTGGAGTCTCTGACAAAGCCCTCCACTGACTTAAGTCTTAAATTCATCATAGATCTCTGTCAAAGCCAATAATTCAAACTCAACCCCTCTACATCTCTGATATGGAGTTCCTCAAGGCTCAGTCCTTGATCCCCTCCTTTTTTCAATCAATATGCTTCTGTTTGGCAAAATTATTTACAACCACAAAATATTAATTCACTGATATGCTGATGACACAATGCTATGCCTCTATTCAGTCCAATGACCAGATTGTACAAATTCCTCAAAAAATCTGTATATCTGATCCAACATGAAATTTGTTTCTATTTTCTGCCAATTTTTCAGATGAATAATAAAAGCTGTGTACCCCTGGGTTGAGGAAGAGGTTGAGGTTCTTGTGCAGCAAAACCTGGTTCTCCTGGTTCCCCGTACAGAACTTCTGCAGGAACAAGTGAGTATACTTGATGATCTCCTGCATCTTCACATCGCTCTGCAGGAAAACAGAGAGGGAAAAATCAAAGTCCACACTCCGAGGAGTCAGTTTTTTCTTACTCTTAATGTTTGCTCTTTTAAAAGTCCAACAGAGCAGAATTCAAAGAAACAGCAATCTAAAATACTTAGGATGTTTTCACACTTCTGATAAGTAAAATACAGTATCTTATTGACATTTGGGCTGATGAGCACATTTATCAACTATTTGACCCCACTCACAAAAATACAGAAGTTAAACTATTGAATCAGCGACAAGGGATGCTTTCAATGCTCTGCTGGCGTTACAGTTTAACGTGTGACTATGTCAACTGGGGACTTTGAGCAGAATGTGTCTGAGGTTGTTGACCAGATCACTTCAGTGATGTTTACAGATACGTGCAGCTTAGGTCTCCAGTCAACATGGTCGCTCTTAAAAGCGTACCAGTGTCAGAGAAACTCTGACAGTGATGTATAAAAGGTACAAGAGCAGCTCAGCAAAAGTGGAGGTTCTGGTAATGAGAAGGAAAGCTCCCCTGGTTGGACAAGCTGGTCTACATTCTCGGCACTAAAGGAGTTGTTGAACCAGTAGATGTTTATTCTGTTCGCTTGGTTGGTTGCAATAAAAACTAACCACTTCAGGGTTGAATTGGAAGTGAGCAGTCAGCTCGCTTGTTTTGTTCCGCATCAGGTAGCTTACATCCATCCAAATGCATCAAGCCAAGGAGGGAAACATCCTATCTTTGGGAACAACTCCTTCCAAATAAAGAACAAATGATCATTTGGATTCTTAAGTTTGGTGGTAACTTTTCTTACCTTGTCGTAGGACACCTGCAGCAGGTCCAGCATGACTTTATGAGCTCCCATGTTCTTCAACAACCTCTGCTGCTTCTTCCAAACCCCAGTGCTGCACATCTTATTCAACCTCTCCAGGATCTACACAGGAGAGAGAGACAGAGGAGGCAGAGGTGGTGGATTACAAACATACATTCATCTTCCACCAGTGAAAGTCTCCACTCACACTAGTACTATTTTTTAAATGATGCTGAAACTGAAAGAGTGTCATAAATCACTTTGGGGTATAGCTGATATTAGATCAATTCGAATAAAATAAATTTGATCACTTTTAATTTTACTCACCAAATGCATCCAAGTCTCCTATAATAAACTAAACATAAACAGCATGATGTACTGTGTAACAGATTCTTTAATCAGGCTTGAGTATACACATAGAGCTGTTTATTTTTCTTTCTGTATCTAAAGAAGAAGAGATAAATTGTGGAAGATGTTACATTTTTTACATGAATAACTTTTATCCAAAAAGTATTCATATATGGGGTTCCCCAAGGCTCAGTGTTCAGTCCACTATTGTTCTTTTGAACCTCCATGAATGATATTTGTTACAGTCACACAAGTTACAAATAATTGTAATTTTCAGATGACAGGAAGTAGTTTGACTGTGTTAAAAATCTGAACATCGGGATCCCTTGGGATAGGAGTTAAAATATGGTGTGTATTTAAATACGTTTGTGTAATGCTACGATGTTGGATGTCATAACTAAACCTTGGCAAAGTGTTTTTAAACACAAAATACACAGTTTTCGGTGTAATCCCCAGATGTGGTTTCCTGCTGCACCTAACAAGACGTTACGAGAACTTGGCAAGAACCTGATGTCAGGTTCTGCCGACATATCAGAGAAAAGAATGGAGCAAAGTTGTAGGACACGGCCAACCTGAAGCTCATTCAACTTTCCCCGTGACTGCAAACAGAGCTTGCCAATCAGAGGAAAGTGGGCATGTGGGGAGGGGGGGCCTTAAAGAGACAGCAGCTGAAATTAAGCGTTTCAGGCAGAGGCTGAAATGAAGGATTTTACTGACGACAGTATCAGATAAATAAGGAGGTTTTTGAGCTACACATCTAAAAATGCTACTCAACAGGTGTCACAGACTGACATCATTAATGGTGAAAGTGAGGATAATAGATCTCCTTTAAAGGCTTTATATGGGGCAGATGTCACCCTTGAGCACCAGCATGAAACCAAAACAACTTGCGCTGCATTTTTGTGTTAGCATGCTAACGCTAGCGATCTTTATTATGCTGGTATCTTCACACTGCATGTAAATTTACCTGAAATGAGCGTGATCTAGAAACACAGTTAAGCAGTGAGTACAGTATGTTATTCTTCTTTTCTCTAGTCCCTCAATTAAACAACTTTTATACGCGAGGGGAGGAGTCAGCCGGCCGTCCAGGCAATGAAAACAAACTGAAGATAGGACTCTGAAAACTCTGAAAACATTACAGACAGTGGGACTCGGGTGTTACACCCATTGTAGACAGTCATGACTCACAAAGTTATTTTCAGAGGATATACTTGATTTCTATTACATTTAAGTGTGAAAAATTGCATATTAAGCCTTTAAATATAATTGTAAGTTAGGGGTCTGAATACATGGGAGTTTTTTGTCTGGAACTTATTTAACTCAAAGATTTTTAACAATTGAACAACCAAAAGAAGAAATAGGTGCGCATCTCACATTAATTAATTAATACGTTTGATGACTTGTTAGCTAGGATCAGTACCAGGTCCCAGTTTGATGACCTGTTAGCTAGGATCAGTACCAGGTCCCAGTTTGATGATCTGATAATTTGATGATGATATAGAAGGTCTCTAATATTACAGGCAAACAACTACTAAAATGACATTTTTTAGATGGATGTTTGATCAAACTCGGGACATCAGGAAAATCTCATATGACACAGACACAGACCTTTAGTTTTCAACCTGCACATTTGTGCAAATTATGTTTTCACTTTGTGGGGACTTGCAAAATAAATAGTCTGCATCGCTCTTGGTCTGAACAAACCTTTACATTGTGATTGTGAAGTTGTGAAGACACTGCTGGAACAGAATGATTAATTACACGGATCAACAACTTGCTCCATGTACGAACTGTTTGGTGTGACAATATTGATTTAAATGTATATTTTAATTTTCCCTAATTAATTTATGTTTTGACATTTGGCACATCCAATTCTGTTGTGCAGTAACAACTTTGTAAATTCATTAATTGTAATAATTTTGGTCAGTTGAAGCCATGAATGTTAAAGAGACAAAGACAGGAGCACCTCAAAGGGACATTATCAGCAGAAAAGGACGTCACAGCTCCTCCCACATCAATTGACTGACAGTTGATTTCTGGAAAGTACACTTCAGAGACACCAAAACGAAAATGGACACCCAAAATAAAAGAGCCCAGAATAGATTTAAAGGAAATCAGATGGACAAATGTTCTCACCTCTTTGACTTTCTGGTAGCTCTCGTTGCCTTTTTCAAGTTTGTCTTTCTTGGGCGTCTCTTCCTCTGATGCCACCTGGAGGATGTAGAGGGTAAGACAGCATATGCAGTTCTCTTTGGTTATGATTCTACCTTGTACACACTTGAATCAAAAATCAAACTATGTCATTAAAACACAATTGTGCTACGTCTAATGACTCATTAACATGTTCCTAAATTTTGGGCTGCACATTCAAATCAATAAAATCCAAAACAAGCAGATACTGATAGATGTAGAAATTTAAATGAACAATCAGGAACTCCTGTAGCTAAATCACTGTCAGTATTTCCATTTTGTTCAGGTTTCAGTTACATTTAAAAATCAGCCCTTGAGAGTATTGTAGGCAGAATCAAGAATCAATTTCCACTTTGTGGTATCTATAAAATAGCATCAAAAAAATGGCCCAAAATCTGGGAAAAGGTGTAATCAAGACGTTTGATTGGCAGTGAAACATTTTGATTACCGTACACAGAAATGGTTTTGTCAAGAGATACTGTGCATCCCTCAGTAGTGGTATATAAGAGCCAAACAATACAAAGTACAAAAAGTCCCAAAAAGAACTCAACTGAACATCGACCATCAGTCTGAATGATTCGCCCATCATGGGTTGTTCAGTTGCTTCTTAAATAGTTTGATATGCAGAATAAGTGTGTATGACAAGTGTGACAATGATTCAGTGGTGTTATAGACACATTGATGGAGCATTTGGACTTCATGCTACAGTAAAAGAAACAATAAAGACAGAGAGGGAGGCGCCACATGCAACAAAAGTCCCAAACCAAATATGAAACCACATCCATGTAGTTTCACCCGATACCCCAGCAATCCCAACACCAATCTTTAGGCAGCAAGTCCAAAACCCAGGATGCAAAGTTCCAAACCTTTTTTTTTAGTTTCTGTTTAAAACATTAGTTTCATGAGTAGTATTCCACTGGTTAATAAATGTTAATCTTCCATGAGAATTAAATGTCTTCAACTTGTTTTATTGACTCATTAGTTAGTTGATTTGTTAGTGGTTATTCACAGTTAGTTTTTTTAGTTTTCCGTTTACAGCAGCTTGGATTTTCTTTCAGCCATCTGGTCATGAAGATATAAGCAAACAATTACCTGAGATGGAATGATAGTCTTTAAAATGTAAGTATATACTGTATGTTGTAGAAATGTCCCAGCTCCCTTTCTCTCAAACTAAAGCTTTACGCTGATGACACTGTTCTTTACAATGCTAACCCTTATATTACATATGTTCTTTAAATTATAACAAGTGATACACATACTGCTCAAATGTAACATAGAAATAACTTAAATTGTTAAACTTTGTGATTTGGAAAGACAAAATAATGGCTGCTAATACAGTCAGTGGAATTAAGTCCGACCAATTGCCTGTGAGATTTCATTTTTAAAAGCTTGATAAAACAGATTGACTGTAAGGAAGCGGACTTTAATGAAACAGCTTGATGACAGCTTGTAATGGTTTATTGCATTTGGTTATTTTGGTGAAAGAGTGGATGGTGCTACTCCACAGTCTATACAACTTGAGCTCTAACCTCAGTTTATGCTCCTCAAACATTCTGGTCGCAGTTATTTCATAATACAAACTTTTCAGTTGCAATGCCTTTTATGGATATAAAATGTGAAAATAATGTTTTTTCTCCTCACCTCTACCTTCTCCTTCTTCTCCTTTTTGTCCTTCTTCCCATCCCCTCCACCTGAGCTCTTCTTCTCCACCCACAGCTCAGATTTCTCCACCAACGTTCGGAGACGATCCAGATCTGACTTGATCAGTTTGTAGTTCTCCACATCTTGGGAAGAGATCAGTAACTGGACCTGCAGACGTCATCAAACACATGTTGCAGAATAAACACGAGAGTCCTGCTAACAGTTTGAACAATTCCTCCAATCTTGTTGTTCTCTTGGTTGCAACCCTAATGATGTCCGGGCCCTGCGGTCCATCAGTCTACCCGGTTGAGTTGTCGGGGCAGAAATGGCCATGTGGTAATGTAGATAGTATCGGAGAGGTCACTACCTCAAGCTCCCGCCAACACAGCCTCGGTATGTTGAAGGTGGCGATGATGTTTTGGTTGTGGTGGCGACTAAGGTCCATAAGGTAGGTTAAGTAACTTATCAGTCGGGCATGAGACTTGGATCTCTTCACTGAGCGCTTATCCTCTCATTGGGGCACAAGCACCTTGTGTTTATTTCAAATTGCACTCCAGCACCCTCACAGACTTTACCCGATGACAGCGAGTGATTCCAACACAGTATGTGGACATGTTTGAACTCAAGGACTCAAGGTTAACCTGCAAAAGTTAAACTTACACTTACAGACTGAGCTACCCAGTCTCCATGTCCACAAAAAGATCTCAGTCATGTGACCACAGTCTGTATTGGTTCACTAAAATTTTGTTTTCAACTCAACAGTGTGGTGTCTTGGATTCGTGGCATACTCCTCTTGTTAGCTCTGCAAGTGTGAGTGTGTGTGTGTTTTTACGAGTACCTGTTTAAAGGTGTGCAGCACTTCCTGTCTCTGGCTGAAGTGTCTGAAGAGAAGCTGCAGCGCTCCAGACACCAGAGGAGGATAGTCATGCATGGTGAGGTGTATCAGCACCCGCAGGAACATCCGGCCGCCTTCATCATCCACCTCCAGGATACTGTTCCCCTTCCTGTCCACACACACATCAAATATCCAAAATACAAAATATGTGCTTCTTCATCTTGGGTAGTGATGCAGGTTTTTATGAAGAATATATTTGCTTTTATATGTCTCTACAGATGAATCATGTAAATGTACAGCTTTACATACCCAACTCCAAACATGGCCTCTGCCTGCTCTCCAATGTGCTGCAGGTTGATGGTGGCTGAGGAGGGACAAAACACACCGAGGTGAAAAAAGGAACTGCTGGGTCCAAGGATAGAAATCTTGTCATGCACACAAATTTTTTTTTACTTTCTTTCATTCCATCTGTACATTTTCATTCTTAAAGACAGAATCAGCAGCTTCTTCTTTCAAAATAAAATACAGACTTCTCCTAAAGTGAAGCTGCTCCCTCGTCCCTTCTGGGACTCCTTACATGTGTGGTGGTGACTGTGTCTGCAGAGACCCTGACCTCTGACTGGATTTCACTGTTCTGATTTGTTTTGGTTAACTCGGGACATTTCTGTGTGGGGAGCTGGTGTGTTTCCTCCAGCCAATGACAGTTCTTCGGGTGAGTTTAGTCTTTAATTTACTCCAGCAGCTCATTGTTTATTTGTGTGTTTCATTCATGTTTGACTCTGATTGTTTACCTGCATGCTCCATATTCGTCGTAGCATCAGCATCAGCCATGGGATAAACATCCACAAACTCCTTCTTGAACACAGAGAGCAGGAAGGACAGACGGTAGTCCAGACGAACATTCAGGATGAACTGATGAAGACAAGAGCTCGGTTCAGATACGAAATGATTCACTTTAGAATGAGAATAATAAGAGAGGCAGCATTAGTCTGTGCGGACACTGAATCCTTCCTCAGATGGTTTATATATTATTTGAAAGAAATAAATGACAGCTATCAATTTAACATATCAGAAATAAAACCTTTGAGGGCTTCTCTTAATCAAGTAAACATCGAAACAAGTTGAATAACTCAAAATTTAAAAAATTAGACATCATAAAACATTAAAGGTCCAATCAGTGAGATGTGTAGTGAGGTAAATGATAAAGGTATCTTACTATCTGATCAGACATTAAGGAAACATGCTATGTTGAAGTGCTGGCTTCTCTGACAACAATGCAGCAGCCAGTATTTTCCTCCTTCTAACTTTAGATTCTGGTCCTGAATGCTCTGGATTTGTTTGGACCAAAGACGGTAGGCGCTTTTAAGACACCCCCCCCCCACGGCCGTTTTGGACACCCCTTGGTTTTTCAGATATGAGAGCAGTTATCAGGTCAACAGGTGTTGCAGCGATGGAAGCGGGCAAGAGAAGTGGTTCAGGTAGAAGTGATTGTACCCGACCTAAAAAGCCTCTGCATGTTTCTAATAAGCTCCACGAGCAGAAACGTGCTCAAACTAGGATCAATATTGGAGATGCTTTTGAAAAATGGAGAGAGGTTAGAACACAGAAAGGTTTACAGACCCATGCAGAGCTGGATAAACACTGAAGCTTCAGAGTCCACCACATGGTGACCTGAGTGAGCATGGACTCTAGAGAGGAGGGGGCGGGGGGAGACAGCTCTCTATGATGTTTAGAATTTTTACTGCAGTACCCATTTTAAACACTAGGAGTCAGAGTTACATATGTCAATACCATATGACTAATATAATATTGGTTACCTGTAATATCTCCAGTATCTTCAGCTTGGTGTCCATCACTGTCAGGTCTGTTTTGTCGATACTATCTTTACTGCCTCTCTGTCCTTCAAGCATAAGTCCCGCCCCCACCCCTGCCCCTCTGGCTCCTGGACCTCCAAATAAGGACTGTTTCCTGTTGAGGACCATGGTGGACATTATCTGACCCATCCCATGTATGGAGCGCTTCACGTTCTTCCCTATTGACACAGAAGAATGTTTTATTGTATTTCCAAAATTAAATCTGTCAGAAATTAGCACATCGAACCGAGTCATAAAACAAAGTCATAAATAACCGAATATAAGGAAACAAACCAAAAAAAGAATGTGACGTGACCCTAAAAACACTCACACAGCGCCATGTCCATTTAACGATCCTTAAGTGACAATGTGCAATTGGACTGGACACTTAAAAGGCCAAAGATGACAAGACAATTCAGAGTGCTTGTCAGATCATATCAGTTTCTTTTTTTTATATCTGAGTCTAAGGTCTTATTTCTGAGTTAGGTTACAGCAACTACTGCAAAGATTACCTGATCCATCATCGTGGAACAAGAGCCCAGTGTATCCAGGATTGGGTCTACAGTCGATGATGCCCAGCAGGGTTCTTGTGAGTCTGAGCAGCTCAAAAAAACTATAGAAACCAAAGTAGATCAGATGTCTGGCCAAACTGACCACCTGCAGAAAGAAAAGGAACAAAGGCAGTGAACACAATTAAAAGATGAAAGATGAAGACAGGTGTAAGATGAAAAAGGAAGTAGTTAAGCAGACACGGACCTCATATGTGAGTTTGTTTTTCTCCTCGTTGTGAAATGGCAGCTCGTCGTTCAGAACGTTGTTAAGGTACTCCTCCATGAACACCATTGTGTTGGAGAAACGGTTTTTCTTGTTGTCTCTGCTGTCATCCATGTTGGAGTCATAGCTGAAGGAGATAAAGAAAAACAAATTAAAAACAGCAACAAATCACCTGGGTAACATTTTGAGCGTTGCTCATAAAGGTCCGCATTGAATGAGCCGTCTCTGCCGACGGAGCTACACAGGCTTTGAAAAGCTCACCCTCTGGAGACACCAGTCGCATTTTATGGATAGTGCCATCAACAAAGGAAGAAATGCATGTGTTCAGTAAATTGGTAGCAGTTACAAGTGAAAGACTGTTCCAATCTCCAATTCAACAAATCTACGGGTGGGTTCCAAGATCGGTCTCCGAAAGCCACAGGGAAGGCGCACTGTTGACTGATTAAATGACAGCTTTGACACCTGAACAGGGACTTGAACCCTGGACCCTCAGATTAAAAGTCTGATGCTCTACCGACTGAGCTACACAGTCTTTGAGAAGTACACCCTCCGGAGACACCAGTCGCCCGGACTCAAAATCCACATGTATTTAGTGAATAATAAAGCATTTTATCAAGAGTGCCATCAACAAACCAAGAAATACATGTGTTCAGTAGATTGGTAGCAGTTACAAGTGAAAGACTGTTCCAATCTCCAATTCAAAGGGTGGGTTCCACAATCGGTCTCCGAAGGACAAAGGTAAGGAGCACTGCTGACTGATTAAATGACAACTTTGACACTTGAGCAGGGACTTGAACCCTGGACCCTCAGATTAAAAGTCTGATGCTCTACCGACTGAGCTACACAGGCTTTGAGAGGCACACTCTCTTGAGACACCAGTCGCCTGGACTTAAAATCCACATGTATTTAGTAAATTGGTAGCAGTTACAAGTGAAAGACTGTTCCAATCTCCAATTAAACAAATCTACAGGTGGGTTCCAAGATCGGCCTCCATAGGCCACAGGTAAGGAGCACTGTTGACTGATTAAATGACAACTTTGACACCTGAGCAGGGACTTCAACCCTGGACCCTCAGATTAAAAGTCTGATGCTCTACCGACTGAGCTACACAGGCTTTGAGAAGCACACTCTCTTGAGACACCAGTCACCTGGACTTAAAATCCACATGTATTTAGTAAATCGGTAGCAGTTACAAGTGAAAGACTGTTCCAATCTCCAATTCAACAAATCTACAGGTGGGTTCCAAGATCGGTCTCCGAAGGACACAGGTAAGGAGCACTGTTGACTGATTAAATGACAACTTTGACACCTGAACAGGGACTTGAACCCTGGACCCTCAGATTAAAAGTCTGATGCTCTACCGACTGAGCTACACAGTCTTTGAGAAGTACACCCTCTGGAGACACCAGTCGCATCTTATGGACAGTGCCATCAACAAAGCAAGAAATACATGCATTCAGTAAATTGGTAGCAGTTACAAGTGAAAGACTGTTCCAATCTCCAATTCAAAGGGTGGGTTCCACAATCGGTCTCTGAAGGACACAGGTAAAGAGCACTGCTGACTGATTTAATGAATGCTTTGACACCTGAACAGGGACTTGAACCCTGGACCCCAGATTAAAAGTCTGATGCTCTACCGACTGAGC